ATCTATCTATCTATCTATCTATCTATCTATCTATCTATCTATCTATCTATCTATCTTTGCTGAAGTTTGCTTGGATTGTATATCTGTCACACACACTTAAATTATCTTTATCTTCTTGTCTCCATATAAGTCTATTTTTGTTTGTCCTAACCCCAGTAGCTAGGTGATTCTGCTTAACTGATTCAGGTCTTTTGGCTACTAGATATGTTCATTTTATGGAATAAATATGAATTATGATCTATTACATGTCCTCACCTCCCCCATACAGGTCAATAGTTATTTTAAATCTACTAACTGATATCAGACACACAAGGAAGGATGCTTGACAGTGACAGCTGAGGTTGAAGGTGAAGAGTTACCAGTAATTAATTTTTCATCCTCAGAAATCTAGTGAAAACCACAAAATACATTTTAAGCTTAGAGAAACAGAATTGTGAATGTGATCCTATTTTTGAAATCATAGGTATCTCTTTCATAAATCTAACATGAATTTACATCAGAACAGCATATGGTTTGAAAGTAATTATACATTTTAATGAACATGAATCCATTCCTATTAGCAAACTTATGTTGAACAAATATTTTTAAATGTTTGCTGTAGATATGTACTGTTATGATACAATAGAGTGGGTGTTTAACAAATTAAAATTAGTATAGTTTTGTTGCCTACAGAAGTAAGAATTGTTATATATATATACACATAGATATGTTGCTCATATACATAGTTGCACATATATAGTATATTTATGCTTGCTATATATGTATATAAGAATTTCATATGATGAAGAAATACAAGATAATTAAAATAAAGCAAAAAAAATAAATTAAAAGATAACACTATGCCTTACATTAACATCAGAAACACAGAGTCAGTTGTCACTTGTTTCCATCATGGATATGAGTTATGGAGCCACAATTCATAACTTTACCAGGATAGCTCTTAAAATGGACATCAATGGGCACCATCAAGATCTTCTCTGGAAAATCTTTCATCATATTCCCAAATAAGAGGAAAAAACTTTGTTGTTTTCTCTCTGCTCTGTTTACATTTTTCCCATTAGTCTTTGGAATCTCTACATTGGAATGCCATGCTGTATGCTATAAAACTCAAGTCCCTACTCCAAAATCATGATCAGGGCAACTCAGAAGGATTCCCCTCTTAGTTTGGAAGATATTATTATGGGATAGATGTTTGTAGCCCTTCACAATTCATATGCTGAAGTCTATGCCCAACATGATAGTTTTTGAACAACTAAATTATCTTTTATGATTTATTTTACCTTTGACTATATCTGTGTATGAGTATGTGGAGTTGGGTGCAAGGATCCCCAGAAGCCAGAGGCATTGGATATGCTTGAATTTGGAGCTCTAGGTGGTTATACGTCACCTGGGGTAGGTACTAGGATCCAAACTTGGGTCCTCTGGAAGAACAGTTTTGTACCCTTAACCAGTGAGCCATCTCTCTATTCCCTGCATGCTCAATTTTTGTTTGATGATTACTCTGTGGGACACTAGAGGCTGTTACAGGCTCAATAAGAAATGATTTGATTGTACAGAAATGTGTGGAGCCGTCATACAGTCCTAGATACAGGAGATACCAAGATAAATAAGGTGTGAAGAACGGACAGAGAGAGGTTATGATGGCTCCTGCGGGAAAATAAAGAGAGTCTGGGCATGGGACTGTGTAGCATGTAAGGACAGCCTCCTGGGGTAGGAAAGTCGGGAGAGCTAGCCAGATGAAATAGGAAGATGATGGTCCATCCCTCGGGGCCTGAAGATATAAAAGAGCCCAATTTGACAAAAAATGGTAGGGGCGGGGCATAATGTCTAGAGACAAGCACTAAAAACTATGTGGCTTTTTTTTTGGCAAGGCTAGAAAAGAATGTGAGAAATATATGTAAGACATTTAGAAGATTCAAAAGAATTTTGGAATAATGCATAGCCAGTGATGTTCAGGGAATCTACTATAAAGATGTATCTAGACTAGTACAGGTGATATGAAGGGGGTGATAGGGGAGGAAGTCTTTAATTAGGGAAATGGGTAGGAGGACAATACAGAAGGAGAAAAAAGAGGGATACATAACACTAAGTGTGCTTGAAAAAGATATAGGGAATCATTCTTTTATGTTTACCAAAATTCACATGTAACACAAGTAAGTGTATGTATACACATACATATATATTTAAATGGAGTTGAATGATGATACTCCATCCAAAATCCATAAAGTATCTAACAAAATTTCCTGTACCAGGCACAAGAAACCCCCTTTCAAGTTGTTTGGCTAGGCAAATCAAAAGATTCCTGAAGTGAGATAGGTTATTGCTACTGCCCTTAGTTGGCTGCCAGGAGCTGAAGGTAAGTCCTTACTGCTGAAGACATCACACACCCCGGACATAGGATGCAGAGGGTTTGAGCTGGAAGTGACCCAAAAGCCTTATCACCTAGGACTAGCTTCCACAGTCCCAGGAGGTGATGTGCAAGCTTCTAAAGAGGAAAACAATCAAGAGTGCTACTCACTTGTGACATGAACATTGTCACTGGTCTACTGTTTTGAAGACCAAGGCATGACCTTGGCAACTCTAACAAAAGAAAACATCTAATTAGAGACTTGCTTAAAGTTTCAGAGGTTAGACCATGATCATGGCAGAAAACATGACATGTCACATCTCTACATGACAGCACTTAGACAGATGTGGTACTGGAGAAATTGTAGTATGAATTTTCATTGGTCTTAAAAATAAAAACCTGGAGTGAGATATCAGGGTTAATGCTGAAAGGTAAGAGAATTAAAGGAGCCAGCTACTAGAGAGACTTCTGAGACAAAATCCTCAGACTGAATGGGATGTCCTGTCTCTACAAGTCCTCAGACTGAATACCTTCAGCTCCTGTCTCCTCCTGCCTCATATTCCTCTTTCTACCCAGCCATATTCCTTCCTGTCTCCATCTCCCCAGTGCTGGAATTAAAGGTCTGTGACTCCAAAGTACTGAGATTAAAGGTGTGAGCCACCACCGCCTGGCTCTGCTTCTCTTTGATACTCGATCAATCTAGCATAGTTTAGGGTGGCCTTGAGCTCACAGAGATCTGTCTGCCTCTGCCTCCTGTAAATGGAAAACGTTCTTTCATTTTCCAGCCACCCAAACCCAGATAATCACACAGAAACTATATGAATTACAACACTTTTTGGGCAATGGTTCAGGCAGTTTCCTTACTAGTTCTTATATCTTAAATTAACTCAGTTCTATTAATCTGTATATCGCCATGATGTTGTGGCTTACTGGTAAGGTTCCAGTGTCATGCTCCTTTGGCAGCTACATGGTGTCTCCCTGACTCTGCCATCCTTCTTCTTGCATTCAGTTTAGTTTTCCTGCTTACCTACACTCTGCCCTGCCACAGGCCAAAGCAGCTTCTTTGCTACCAAAGATATTAAAACATATTCACGGCATACAGAGTGGAGTCAGCCTCCCAAATGCTGGGATTAAAGGTGTGTGCCACCACTGCCTGACCGCTATAGTTCACTAGTGACTTGCTCCATACTCTGATCCTCAGATAAGCTTTATTTTTTATAGTATAAAGAAAATATCACCACAGAAAATTTTACATCTTGATCCATTTGCAGAGAGAGAGAGAGAGAGAGAGAGAGAGAGAAAGAGAGAGAGAGAGAAGGAGACTCTAGGCCTGGCATGGACTTTTGAAACCTAAAAACCCACCCCAATGAACATTTTCTCCAACAAGGCCACACCTCCTAATCATTGTAATCCTTTTAAATGGTTCCACTCCCTGGTTACTAAAGATTAAAATATAAGAGCATATGGGGGCCATTCTTACTCAAACCACCACAGATACCAACCACAAAAATGGTCAGCATGGCAAGATATCCCTACAAGTGTAATAGTGTTGCTTATATCTTGGAGGTAACCTATAGCTATCTAATTGGAATCATGGCTTACTTAACAAGAGGAAATAATGTTTGGTACTACAAATGTAGCAACTACACTTGGCTAGAGAAATCATGAACCTTGAGGAGAACCTATTACCACCACCTTCCTAAAACAATATAGTTCCTAACCACATTCTAGTGTTTATCCTATATCCACAGATAAAAGCAACTCTCACCTCTGGTCAAAGAAGATTCATTTTGCAGCAGTAGGAGACCCTGACGGGAAACACACATCTTATCAAAACACAGAGGACAACTGACCATAGGCTGCCCAGTCCACGTGAGCCAACTACAACACAGCTCCTGCACATAAGGCTCAGGGAACATCACTGACGAGAGAATCAGAATATTGTAAGAGCCAGAAGGCCGGGAAGTCTGCTGTGACCTCAAGCTTTCTAACTATGAGGAGGAACATCCATGAAACCCAACGTCATGAACACTAACAAAAACCTCCTGAGTCATCCCATTACCTGCTGACATCCCAGAATATGTGAGGGAAATAGTATGGGGTCTCACTCCTAGATAAAGAACTATACGCAATTAACTCCTACTGAAAGCGGGAAAGCTGATCTTCCCCGGGATGAAGTCATGATTGCTTTTGCCCCAGCAATCTGTCGTGGCCTCTCAGTGACCCGCATGTTTTGATGTTTTATTTATGAGTTTAACTGTGTGCTTGCTATAATGTATTGTATAAGCATATTACATATATAAATATTAATTTTACATAAATGTGAATAATCGACAATGATGAAAGAAAAGGAAGCCATGAATTCAGGAAAAAGTGTTAGTGGAGTTGGGTGGACATAGGAAGGGTAGGAGGAAGGTGATAGAGCGAAGAAATGATGTAATCATATTTTAATTAAATTCAAAATGTAAAAATAAATAAAATGAGAAGTTAGGGACACATGGGAAAGGGAGAAGGTGGATGGATTTAGGAGGGGTTAGGGGAAATAAAGGGGATGAATATGACCAGAATACACTGCATAAACTTCACAAGGAATTAATAAAAACACTATATTAAAAATATTTATCTAGAATAGATTTCAAAGGGCTCATAAACTTGGATTCTTATGTGAAATTTATCATTTCCTTTTCAGGTATAACTAAAAATCAGTGGTGCCAGCAATCTTGGTGACTGTCATCAAAAGTAATCAAGTATTGTCATTTCATATTATGGTTGCAGATACCTTGACATGATACGTATGCCTTGTAAAATTGCAACAGTTACAAGACTTGTTGCTTTGTCTTGTTGTTTGATGGGTTAAAAGAGAAGCATACTGACAAGTATTTCATCACGGTAACTATTTCACAAAAACATTCTTGTGTTGTATCTGTGTGCAAGTCACCTTCTATTTTAAAATAACATTCTGAAAATACTGCATAAGCTTTCTCAACTGTAAAAAAAAAATCTCCATTTTAAAAGATCGAGAGCCAAGTGTTAGAGATATTTCAGAGACGGCTTTTGTGATTTGGGAGGAACACTGGCACAATGCTGAGTGAAAAGAAGCTGGAACAATGGAAAATTTGCTGAGGAGGCTGAATGTATTGAGATAAGGGGAAATATGCAGTGAACAGGAGCACCGAACATAAGAAGTGAGGAAAAGCTCTGCAGAGAAGTGGGGAAGAGGGGGGGAGAGTGTGGAAACCAGGAGACTGCAAGTCCGAAAGGGGACAAAAATTATTCAGAAAAAAATAAAATAAAGCTGGTCGGTGGAACTGGGCACTAGTGAATATAGGGTGGGGTGGGAAAGTGTGCAAATGAGAAGGAAGGAAGGACCAAGCCCCTGGTTGATGTAGTCTTCATAAGGATAAGGATACTGTCTTTCCCCAGAGAAGAGGAAGCCACTTCAGAACTCCAAACATGGAGGCAGGATGATTTTACTCATCCTGTATAAAAGGACTCAAGGCATAATGGGATTAAAGAAGAATAAATAGAGTGGAAGTCAGAAACCAACAACGCGAAGATGCTGTAGGCTCTCAAAGGAGGTGGTGGTGGGGAGGGAAGCAGGAAATTAAATAGACAGTGATGGCTGACTTTCTGTGTCGGGTACCGTGCACAGTAATTGCTCATTATTTTTCTGGGTGCTTCTATTGGAGTGCTTTAGATGAGATCAATATTTAAATCAGTGGATTTTAGTGAAGTAGGTTGTTCCCTGCCATGGGTCTTGATGGGTTTTGTTCCCCACTGTGTTGACAGGTTAGTCTTCAGTGTAGTCATTTTGAAGTACTGAGACCTTAAGAAATGGATCCGGGGTTGGGGAGATGGCTTCATAGGTTAAGTGCTTGTCATACAATCATGAGGACTTAAGTTAAAAAAAAAAAGTCAAGCACTTCGATGTACACCTCTAATTTCTGCACTGTGGAAAAACGGAGATGAGCTGTTGTCTAAGGCTTCCTAGACAGTTAGTCTAGTTGAATTGGTAAGACCCGGGTTTAGAGAGACATTCTGTCTCAAAATACTAAGATGGACAGTAACTGAAGAAGACACTCAGTTTGAACCTGGCTTCCACATGTACACGCACACTCACACACACATACACACACACACACACACACACACACACACACAATCATGTACATACTCATACATTCACATAAAGAAGTAGATCCTGGAGGATGCCATTGCACACTCTGAAGTTCCCCAGTAAGTTCCTGAACGAGCTAATAAGACAAATGGGTCCCACTCTTTCCCCTCTGGCTTCCTGTCTTGCTCAGTGTGATCTTTCACCATGGGTGAATTCTCACATGTGTTCTTATCATGTTACCATTAACCACGGTGTCCTCACAGAGGACTACACTGTACCTGATTTCTTGGTCCCACCATTGTTTTGTTTTTTATTTTCTCTGAACAGGTCTTTTTGCAACCTGTTTGGACTAAGGATTTGCCTTATCTCTAGGCTTTGCTTCTCTTTTTAGTTATAAATGCTGCCTTTTTTGCTTTGCATCTTCTTGCATTTCCGAAGCAGTCAACAGAAGCCAAGGATAGGATGTGCTACTTTTGTGTTGCTCTGACCAAATTTTTTGACAAAACCAGCTTAGAGAAGCTTACTTTGGCTCAGCATTTCTGAGGAATCTTTATCCATTGTGTGGAGAATGCAGAAAAGGGTGTGGCGGTTCTGGTGGTGGAAACACAAGACAGCAACCTATTGGCATGCTATCGGACAGAAAGCTAGCAAGCTAGACACAAAACAAGGCTGGGTAAAATTCTCATAGGCCCAGTCCTGTTGACCTACTTTCTCCATCAGCAGCATCTCTAAGTTCTCACATACTGCAAAACTGTTCCACAAGCTAGGATCAAACTGAGAGCCTGTGGGGTACACCACAGGTTCAAAACACAGCACCGAATACTGCACTACAAGCCCAACATGTATTCTTAGATATGGCTGCTCCCAAATATCCAGTTTTATCAGTCACACAAATTCCAGACTCCACAAAGCATTTGGCTACAAACACAATTCAGCCAGGCTTTTTTGTCTCTTAAACACTGGCACCTTTTAGTTTCAGTAGCACATTCTTCCCTGAGATTTCATCAGACTGGATTTGAATTTTGTATTTTTAACTATGCATATGCCCTTGGATCTGTGTTTTGGGTTTGTGCCCAAGTGTGCACGTGCCTACAGAGGCGGCAGAGGGTTCCAGATCTCTGTTGTGCCTGAGTTAATAGATGGTTGTGAATCTTCTGAGTGCTAGGAATCAAACTTGGGATGTCTATGAGAGCAGTACATGCTCTGAACTGCTGAGTCACCTCTGCAGGCCCCAGACGGTTTCAGTCTATGCTCCTACCAATATTCTGATCATGACAGGTTAGGTCATCTCTAAGAAGACTGAGGCTTTCGTTCGGCTCTTTTCTTCTGAGTTCTTACCAGAGCTGCCCCTTCTTCTCCATGCATTTACTAGCATGCAATTTGAAGTTCTTCCAGAGTCTACCCACTCTGAAACACCAAATCTACTTCTATCGTTTCCATATCTTCTATAATAGCACTTGATTTTTGGTGCCAATTTCTGTATTATTCACTTGAATTGCTGTAGCAAAATACTTTAGACTGGATAATTTGTAATCAGCATAAATTTATTGCAGTTCAGAGAGCAGAAATATTCAGAAGTAGTAATCAGTAAAAAAAGAAAACCCAAAAAATGCATTTTTATTTTATTTCCTTTTTGAAAAGGGTATTTTACAGGGAAAAAGTGATTATTTCACTAAAACTATAATCTACTTTCTAGACATATAGTCTACATACACTCAACTATATGCATGGTGGGATAAACTTTACCAAATGTATTTACCTTCAAAACCATTACCACAATTATAATCTAGAAGATTTCTTTTTACTCCCAAAAGGTTCATTTAGGTTTGGGTTCCATTCCAACCTACCCCTATCTAATTCCCAGGAAAATAGGAAGACTCCATCTTTTTCTAAATATGAATTGTCTCTTACAGATTATTATTTTTTGAATGCAGAAGCATGATATGTTTTCTTTTGAATCTGGCTTCTTTTAGTCACTGTGGTTTTGAAATTCATGTTGCTCAATATCCTAGCTAGTTCTCATCTTTCTATTGCTGGTAGTATTCTGTTATCTTATCATATGGCAACTCACCAAAATATTTTCGTCCTCTTAACTTATGTTAGATTTGGGATTATTTCCAGGCTTGAGAAGATTCTGAATTAAATTCTTACAAACAGTTGTGTGCAAATCTCCATGTTGGCACATGTTTCATGTTTTTATTTTCTGTGAGAAAACATGAAGTTCCTGGATCGTAGAGTTAAGCAAATATTTAATATTAAAGACAGTGTCAAACTGTTTTCGAAAGAGAGTACTCTTTTTCTTTCTTATACACAACAGAGAGAAATTTTGCTTGGTCCAGACTCTCTCTCCTCAGCTTCTTGATGCATGTCTTCATAACTTTAGATACTTTAGTGGATATAGGCAATTTATTGATTTTATTCTAATCTTCTTGTCACTTGTGATTAATGATTAAAAAAAGCTACAGAAATATATTTCAAGAAAAACAGACCAGCTAATTATAAAACTTCTTTGGGACACAAAAAATCTAAAACATACAAAATATTTTGAGGGAAAGGGCACGTTTTCTATCTCATTTTAGAATTTATTACAAGACTAGAGTAATTAAGACAGAGTGGTGTTGTGGTGTATTGATGAGCGAAAACAATGTTTTTAGAGGCAGACTTATATGCCCAATTGATTTTTGCTGAAGGGCTAAAATTAAGTCAATGAGAAAAGCATAATTGTTTTAGTAAATGTTGTTAAGAAAAAATAAACTTTAATGTTGCATTATACTATATACAAAATTTAATTCCAATTGAATCATACTACATGAAAATAACCTTTAAAAGTCATGGAAATTTTTTTGCAAAACTTGGGAGAGACAGGGTTTCTTACACAGAACGCAAAATGATGATTAATGGATCCAAGTTCAAGGGCATCTTCTATCAAACAAGATTTTAAACACCCTCAGTATAGTGCAGAGGTTTATTGTAACCACTCAATAGTATAATTGCAAGTATTATAAACTGTAGGTAATTATAACCCCATTTGTAAAATGATACTGTTGATCACTATGTCTTTGACACCCTCCTAAGTTTTCCATATTATCACTATAGATATTAACTTGGAAGACTCTCAAGTTGTGAAAAGTCAATAGCAACTTGAACAATGTATCACTGACAAAACTTTCAGATATTTAATTGTAGGATCTTTAGTTCCTACTTTATCATAATTAAAAAATTGATTGATTTCCCATAGGCAGTTTAGGTTTCCAATGGTGCTCATTTTTAAAAATCTATTTTTAGAAATCAAGTTGACTCATTCAGAAATTGAAATGGATTTTTAAAAAATAAACAAAAATCTCTTATTGCATTTTTATAAGGAATGAAAAGTGGGAAACATCCTAAGGTAACGTAATTAGAAGATGAGTTCCTTCCCCTTACATTCCATGTTCATCCTTACCTTCAGAAATAATCACATTGTCCCTTTGTGGCGATTTGAATAAGAAAGAGCCCCATAGACTCATGTGTTTGTTGCTAGGTCCATAGGAAGTGATGCTGTTTGGAAGTGTGACCTTGTTGGAGTAGGTATGGTGTTGTTGGAAGAAATATGTCACCATGGAGGCAGGCCTTGAATTCTTATATGCTCAAACTACACCCAGTGTGAGACACAATCTCCTTTTGCTGTCTACAGACCAAGATGTCAAATTCTCAGCTCACTCCCCAAGAACCTTGTCTGCCTGCATGCTACATGATGATAATAGATTAAACCTCTGAAACTGTAAGTCAGCCCCAAGTAAATGTTTTCCTTTGTGAGTTGCTGTGGTACTATGGATTAATCCTTTTACACACTATGAATATGTATTACTCTCATTGATTAATAAAAACATGACAAACCAATAGCTGGGCAGGAAGTATAGGTGGGACAGGAGACACAGAGGACTCTGAGAAGAAGGATAGAGTCAGAGGAGATTCCAGTCAGCCATTGAACAAGTAGGACATGAAGAAAATGAGGTAACAAGCCATGAGTCATGTAGCAAAGCACAAATAGTTATGAGTTAATTCAAGAGTAAAGCTAGTTAGTAATAAGCCTGAGCTATTGGCTTAGCATTTATAAGTAATATTAAGCCTCTGAGTGATTATTTGTGACTGGTTGGTTAGGACAGGAAACATCTGTTTACACTGTGGTGTTGTGAGTCTTTCTGTCTCCCCAGACAGCTCCCAAATCATGATACAGAGATTTATTATTAATTATGAAAGCTCAGCCAATAGCTTAGGCTTATTTCTAACTAGTTCTTATAACTTAAATTAACCCCTTTATATTAATATATGATCTGACATGTGGCACATGGCTTATTACCTCATTTCCTACATATCATGCTACTTCTGTATCTCCTAGTGACTTTATCCTTCTTCTTCCCAGTATCCTCTTTGTCCAGAAAATCATGCCTAACTATTGACCATCCAGCTTCTTGTTAAACCAAATTACAATGTCATATCTTTATACATAATTAAATATCTTGCAACACAATGGTCATGGAGTCACTTTACAACAATAGAAGCCCTAACTAAGACACCCTTCTTTCTCACTTGCTGGTATCAGGCAAAGAGAAAGCTTCTAGTTGGGAAACTGAATGAGAAAAAATGTTGCCTTACCCCTCAGTACTGACTTCAGCTCTGTCACTAATGAGGAAACAGTGATGTCAGAGCTGGGAATGTGATCAGGTTACTTGAGGTTGGATCCATTGGCCAAAGAGAAAGGACAGAAGCAGCAAACTGCAGCATGGAAATATTATCATAGTATCACGAACAGTGTATGCACTGCATACTTGTCAGGCCCAGGAAAGGCAACTCAATGCCTGAGGGTTGTCTCCAAGGATTCTCCACGGAGGTGACATTTAGCTGGAGCCTCTGAAAGATGAGCCAATATTTGCCATGCAGAAATCAATTCAGTGTAAGTAGTAATAAATGGAGCTTAAAGAGGCAAACAGCCAAGCTGTTTATCTATGTCATGTATCCCTGCAATCACACATTCCCATCCATCTTCCTTGCCACCGGCTTCCTGTATGTCTCAGACTCAACCCAGCAGCCATTTCCTCTTTCTCCCTCCACATTCCCTGCCAGTCTATCACCAAATTCTAATAGACTCTTCTCTGCACTCGTTTTCAGGAGTCCACCATATTACCATATCCTAAAAAGAAATAAAGGAAGGGAGAAAGGAGAGTGGGGAGGGGAGGTAAGGGTCTACTAAGGGTGTCCACTAAGGTTCAGGAAACTCTGGAAATATTAAGATCATATTAATACAACCTTAATTCGTGGGAAGTTTATAATTGGTTTGGGAGTGAAAAACTAGCAATGGTTATCAAACAGTGGTATGGGGCACTTTCAGGTTATAATTTGTAGATGTGAATTAATGAGCTATATGGGATCACAACTGGGTAAAATTGACTATAATAGACTAGCTGACAAAAGTCTCCCTGAAAATCTGAGACCTGAGAGTAAATAATTGTTCTGAAAAATTGCATTTGAAAATTTTTCACTGAGCTAGAAATTAGGTATTATGCACGCCAACTAGTTAATTCTTACCCACATTTCCCAGGACTCAATTCAAAGGCCGTGGCTTCTGAAGGGAATCTCACCCACCTCCTCCATCTATTTTCTCACTGTAAGTATATGCACTTACTCTGGCTTTCACTTTTGTGTTAGCACACCATGATATTATAAGCTCCCATTTCATTTTCTGCCTCCTGTACTATGATCCCAAACATAGAGGCAGTGAGGATTTTCGTTCGTTTGTTTGTTTGTTTGTTTTTACCCAGGCAGCATCTAGGACTGTGGTTGAGAATTAAGAAGGCATGCAAAAATATCTGTCAATAGAAATTTTTCACGACTTAAAAAAAAATCCTACTGAGAATTCTGGAGAATACAGATTAACTGATTCCAAAACACCCCGTTCACTCCCCATACTGTCTCTGCCTTTAAGGAGAGTACACAAGGAGGAGATCGTTAAGGGGAAAACAGTTCTCAAGTTTTCTACTCCACTTCTAACACAACCACAAAGAGAGACCCAGCTGAATTGACAATGAAAAACACAGATACTCTGAAACTCAACCCAGATTTTTATATTTTGTAAAGGTCTTAACAAACAAAAGTAGGTGTTTCTCCTGGCCCCGTCAGAGAGCAGAAGGCACTGCTGGTCACACATCAACTCTCCTAACTGGTCCTGACAGGTACACTCCCTTAATAAGGGTTTCTAACTTAGCTGATGCATGTGCAGTTTTAAAAGCCTCAGGTCCCCAAGGACCATTAGGAGGAAAACTCGCCCACCACAAGATCTGTGTTTGCTGGATGGACTTATTGGCTGATTGGCACTGGCAGTGCCGAGAGTGGCCACTGACCTGATGTCGCGGCAGATGGCAGTTGTGAGAAGCATGTTTCACTAAAGGCAGGAGAATGTGAAAGAACACATAATAGCATAAGCTATGTTTGATATGTGATGGATTTGTGTTCTGAGAGGCAACTATCCGTACTACATCTGCTGATTCAGGCAACCCACACAAGAGACCAGACTCCAGTCAGAATTCTTGGTCTAGACCTGTCCCGACTTCAGCTGCTAGAGCCATTGAGAGCCTTTGCCGTCCATGGTACAAGGAGGTTGGGGGCCTGAAAAGAACCAGCTGACAGAGATGGCTGGGGAGGGAGTTTGAAATATTTTTGTGGTGAGGAGCATTTATTTTGTGTGTGCCTGCTTTGCGCTGAAATCACCCTAGGTGCTCTGAGTATTTCATTATTCAGCCTCTATTTCCATTTACCGAAGAGTTGTTGAGGTTTAATGCAGTCCCTTGGCTTTTGGCTTTGAAATATTCATGGGCCTTTAGCAATTTCTTTCATGCTCACCTTCTCCCCCATTAGGGAGGAAACCTTAGAGGAAACAGAGGCGAGGAGCCAGCATAGCAGAGTGTTTATTTCTAGCGGACCTAATGCTGATCCCCCATGGAGCATGTCTACCTACCTCAACCTGAACAAAGGAAAGGGAAGAGGTCTGGGAAAGGGGATTTCACTATCTTTTCTCAGTTTTTATTCCCCTGCTCCCTTAGATGAAAGTCTAAAAGCTCAAAGGACAATGAGAGATTGCTCCTAGGAGGGACTAGGGGAAGGGCAGCTACTGAGATAGCGTTAAACACCTCCACACTTATCAAAACAGCTCCTTTTTGTTGCTACCTTTGGGGCCCAATTCCACCTACTGACTGCTCTCATGGTTTCTTGCTCTGTGTGATCCAGCTCATCTTTCTCAACCATGTAATAATAATAACCTCATAGTAGCTCATCAGATCGTGAGCAGATCTAAAAATAAGCTCATAGGTAATTTAGGTTCTAATTTACTAAAATAAAACCTGTGTGCATACATATATAAACACATAGTAATTCCCTCATATAAAATGGTGTATTATCTTCATATTATCTCTGCACATGTCTGTTGCTTACAAAGTCAAAAATAATGTGGATTCTACGTAAATATGTATATATCATGCTGCTTAAGAAATAACAACAAGAATTGAATGAATATCTAAACTTGTTCAGAACAGATTTTCTTTTCCTTTTTATGATTTATTTTTTATTTTATTTTATGTGCATTGGTGCTTTGCTGTACGTATGTCTGTGTGAAGGTATTGGGTCCCCTGGAACTATAGATATAGACTGGAATGATATACCAGCGTGAGGTGGGACTACCAAGTCCATGGCAGGGAACAAACATGCTATCAGGCAGAACTTGCATGAGAAAGAAGTTTATTCACCATGTGTCTCTGTCTAGAGTATCCTCTTCTGGGGAAATATGTCTCCAATAATAAAAATAAATATGTCTGTGTATTTTCTAAAGTAAACTATTTACTTTTTTTGAGTTTCATTTCTCCATCCACAAAATGTAGATAACTCTAATAGTCTACCTACAAAGTTAAATAATAAACATGGAAATACTTTGTGAATTATAAGATATTATTTAAATATAGGTGCAAAGTGAATTGGTTCCATGTTTTTACATTATCATAAGTAAACATTTATAGTTTAAGTGGAGTAGGTAAAAATTTATTTAGGCAAAACTCTCTCTGACTCTGAAACCTAAATTCTAGCCTTCTTTTGACTCTCACGCTAGAGAAAGTTTGAAAGTTCTCAACTTTAATATTGTTTTAAGCAATCAATGAGCAAAACACTTGTTTTTATTTTTTTAAATTTTTGGTTAACCCAGATAGAAATAGGTTTCACTGTAATATTTTCACAATATACACTTTCGAAACATGTCTTTGAATAATTTTGGTTAGATAAATGGACAGAATGGTAATATTTTTGGATATCCTTGAATAGTCTCAATTAGATAAATGAGTTACAAATTAAGAGAATAAACCAAATAAAGTAGAAAGATATTGCTCCTTGTCTACTTATGACAATAACAATAACACTAGATGGAAGGGTTACTACGGGGATCTATCAAGCTGTCTGGCTATTGTCCTACTTCTCCCTCTGCTGCTGGGCTAAATACTATGATCAGTCTTGGGGAAGGAAGGCTATGTCTCATCTTACACTTTACAGTCCATTACTAAGGGGAAGTCAGGCAGGAACTTAGGCAGAAAACTGAAACAGAGTCTATGGAGGAACAGTGTCTACTCGCTTGCTTCCTCTGGATAATGCTAGCCAGTATTCCTTTACAATCCAGGACCACCCACATTGGGCTGGGCCGGCCCTCCCACATCAATTAGCAACACCTAGGCCAATCTGATGGAGGCAAACCCTCAACTGGACATTCCCTCGTTCTAAGTCTGTCAAGCAGAAACAAAAATTGGGCATCATGGACATAAATAACAAAATCACTCCAAAAAGCTATTTAAAGAAAATAGAATTAGGCACTAATTCTGATGATTTTTTTTTCCATAAAACTTGTCTTCCTTTTCCTGGGAATTTTTCCATTTAATGCCCCCCCCCCAAAAAAAACTACAGTCCTATTGCAGGATGTTTGTATTAGGTATTCAATTATCTGCAATAAAACAACTGCCATTTGTAATTTACATTTGTCATATCTTCCTGTTCCACTCGCTACCCTTCCTCACTGTAGACGTAGATAAGAGCAGTAAGCAGTAACCATGATGAAACCTGGATGCTAACTTCTACCAAAATTTGGTGGAAATTTCTTCCACCAAAACAAATGAATCCCTTACTTTAAATCCAGCTAAGTTTTCACGACGTGGGCAGAGCACAGCCAGCTTTTTGTCAGGAATGCAACACAGACGGCTTCTAGGAGAGTTCTCAATAATATCTCTCTTCTCTCCTAAAACCTCATGAGTTGAGCTTGCACTGTCCACATTAATCTTGACATTAGGATCATCCGAACTCCCCTAATCTGACCCAATAAGTCCTTCTTATAGCATTCTCCAGTTTATTTTAGCTTGAAGTATTAATCCCACAGATATGAGGAAAAAGATCACTGTCCCAGCTCATCATGGTCAAATTAATTAAGACAAGCGTTTTCATTCCTATACACAGTCTGACTCCCCCAAAAGCAGGGTTCAAGAGGTCAGCAAAGGAGATGGGTGAGATAAGTATTTTTATAAGTTAGGAATAAGGAGTTTCCAAACGGAAGGCAAATAGGTGGGCTTACACCTATTACACCCGAAGCACAACATAAGCGTATCAAGTTGGTCTTAACAACTTCTTGTGCAACAAAGACTGATTGCAAGGTAGTCATAACAAGGTGACCATAACAACAGGAAGTCATAACTTTTTGAAATAATGGCATGGTTTCCATTTCCTGGAACAGGCAGAACAGAACCATTTGCCGTTAAGGTTGCAAGTGGGAATAGCCTGATCCTTGAGAAACAGATGTAATCACAAACAAGAATGAGTCCAGTTTGTCTTTACTATAAGATGGATTTCAAGCCTAACATAGAGGTGGGTTGGTTCATCAGATGCTTCCTTTTTCACGTATTCTGGAAAGCCATTCAAAGTCCTGAGAACCACATAGGCAAGTCTATCATAGTACCGCCCCACTCTCCATCCCAATGTTATTAGTTTTTTGCCCATTGCTTGCTGTGAAGAAAACAAACAGACAAAAACAATTTAAACAGTAGAGGATTTATTTTGGCTCACAGCTGTTGTCACAGTGGGAGAGGCACCCACAGCAGGGTTATAAGGAAGTTGCTTGTGTTTTATCCACAGCCAGGAAGCAAAGACAGAATGCCTGTGCTCTGCTTGTTTTTTTCTGGACAGTGTTATGTTCAGTTTTGGACCTTAGCTCATAAAAAGGAGCTGCCCACATTTATGGTGGGTTAAACCTCTTTGGAAATGTTCTTGTAGACATCCCCCAAAATGTATCTCCTAGGGGACTCCTAATGCTGTCAAACTGACAATAGAACATGACCATCATAATATTGCAATTAAGTGAATGAATATTTATTAATAATCACAGCTACCACTTGCTAAGTTCTTACCATGTTTCTGGCACATATCTAGCTTGTTCATCTAATCCTGAGCAATAGACAGTAGAGGAGCATACAAAGGCTGGGATGGACTCTGTACCTTGTTCAAGGTTACTTAGCTAAGGGCAGAAAAAGAGACCAGGGTCAGGAAAACAATATCTCCTCCATCATTGTATGCAGCTTCTCACAGTATGTTCTTGGCCACAGATGACAGATATTTATAGCACATTCTCCTAAGGTCTTCTGAGAAAATAAACTGTCGCATCAGACTGCTCATCTATGACCCCTGACTCAAGTTCCCCAGATACCCAGAGCTATGGCGTGAACTCAGTGAAGACAAGTAGAAACTCAGGAAAAGAAACTCAAGAAACTCACTCTCTGTAGGGAGTTGATGTCAAATTACTGCAGAATTATTGGACAAAAGATGTCAAATAAATACAAAAGGTCATTAAAAAGGTTTTTTGCCATTCTTTATAGAATGATTTCTAAGGTGGAAAAATGAAAATTGACATTAATCTTAAAAGTGAGCTCTGATTTCATCTGAAAATCCATTTGGCTCAGTTGCCCTGATATCCTGATATGTTCTTCCTGGCCACATAAAAATAGACCCTTCCTCCTCAGCTCTGTCAGGGGTCTGTGAGGCCCCGCTTCCACCACTGAGATCAGAGAAGCAAGTTGGACAATGGCTCAGCAAATTAAATGGGTCGACACAGAATCAGAACCACCCCTGCCCTTCCCCCATTTCATCAAAGTTAACTTTCCTTGCAGGGATTTTTATACACAGTCCAGCTCTACAAAAATCATCCTAGCATGTGTAGAGATTTGGTAATCTCCCTTTCAATCGCAATTAACTAGATCACCAGGCAATTTCTTCCCAAAGGTTAGATGACTATAATCCCCCGTTTTCCACCTCTAAAGTCTAGATGAGACTAGAAGGAAGCTTTGAGCAACAACTGTGCATTCCCTGCTGTGTCAGAATCTGATAAAATAAATCAGGATTAGAGTCTAAAGACAGCTGTGAGATCTAAATGAAACCATTTCTTGAATGCTTTCCTCTTTCATAAAACAGTTTCATCTCACATAATCAGCACATTTACACTGCTAATATACCCCCGCTGCCACACTGTAATGACCTCATTGTCTGCCGCTCATTTAGGTTAAAACATTTATCTGCAAAGTATACCTGAACCCTGTTTGTATACATCATTAGCGACTATTTTACCATCCTCTAGGATCCCTCCAGCCTTTTGCTTCCAGGAATATGTAGATACGGCTCCATTACATTATTGTGGAGATGACATGAGATAATTTGTGGTAAAATGCTTTTCTAATGTATGTCTCAATGTAGCAGTGTGCTTATTGCAAATAAAATAAAATAAAATAAAAAGTTATAGCTGCCATTCTTGACTCCTCCTCACATTCAAATCTTTTTCGTACCCTTCCCTCATTTATGGATTCAGTCTCTTTCCCAGTCTAAGAACCTGAATTGGTTTCTCTTACTTCTGCCAAGGAAATGTGCCAAAAGAGATAGTCCACCTTACAGGGGTTTGCTGTCTCTTTCGCTCTGATGTCTTAACTATGAATCATCCTGTACTTATTTGTTTAAAGGAGAGCAGGAGAAACATGGAAAAGAGTCACAGTTGTCCTAAGCCATGAACTCGTCACAGTCAGTTAGACAACCTCCAAAGTCAATGAATAGCACCAGCTTCTTCCTAGCCAGCATCTGTGTGATCACACCTGGATGAGTAAATTCCTCTGAGGGCAGAAGGACTTTCCACAAATTCTTAGCCGTAATAAATGAGCTTGTTTTAAAACAGTAAAAATTAAAGGCTGAGTCACTAATTGTGAACAAAGGGTCATACTGGTGAAGACCAACGGGTAGAGCCTAAATGTCTGCAATGCCGTAATATCCCATCCTACCTGCGCTCCCTCCCTCTGTCCCTCTCTCCTCCAGAATTGAGGTGGGGGGAGTGTTTCAGGAATCTATGTGTAAACCTAGTGCAGTACAAACTTCCTGGAACCTACGAAGGTGAGCCTAACGAGAGCTTCTGGTCATGGAGGATATAGTGCCTGAACCCACCATCTTCTGTCACTAGGTTAAGCTTCCAGTATTGGGAATGGGACACCAGCCCAGCCACAAAACCTTCAACCTACAATCTGTTATGCCTTCAAGATGTGCTGGGGCAAAGATGGCTCAGAGCTTATGGGAGTGTCCATCCAATGACTGACCTGACTGGAGACAGCTTTGGGTTTCCACACAGTACCTGACCAAACCAACCAAAGAGCATCCATTCATAACTTCCTTACCATTGAGCTAAAACAAACCAAATGCAGTCAGAGTGTCCTGGGATATTTGTACTGTCGTGTCTTTCTAGCATATTCACAATAACCAGCAATTTAAAATTTCATTGAAAATTAAGTGGATCTTTGAAATGTGGTCTATGTACTGCAGTGAAATACTCTACCTGGCCTATGCGGCATGTTGACTCCACTAATCGTATGTGGTAAACTTGAAAATGGCTGAGGGATGAGTTGAGGTCACTCCAAAAGATATATGGAGATAAGGATTTGAGGTAATATGAATGCTAATTAAGTCAATTTAGTCATATGTGTATATATTTTAAAATGTTATGCAACATGCAATGAACCAAATATTTTTTCAATTAAACAACAAACGTTTTAAAAACTGAAAAGAGACTTCAAAAATTTCAAAGTTGGATTTAATGTTTTCATGTTTCAATACACAAACGAAAAGCTTTGCTCTGCACCAAGTGGTCCCTGAGATAGTATTGGCAATACTGAATTCTCCCTCGACATGTGGACTGAATATTTCTTCCTAGCTATTCAGAATAGTGAAAATACATTTGACTCTCCAGTACACCCTCTTGAATTCTTCTTTCTGGTTTCTCTTAATTAATTTCCATTTCTGAAAAGACTATTTTCAATCCTTCTCTAGACTTGCCTTTTGCTTGTTCCTGGACATTGGCCTCTACTCATCCCTGTCTAACCTACCCATCCTCCTCAGTGCTTCCCTTTACTATTTCATCTACCTTCAGAGGACCAAACTCTACCAAGGTTAGTTTCCTCTGAGCAAGAGTATGATGTAACCTGCCCACTATGTACCCGGATACTGGTCTTTACAACAGGACTTTGGGTATAACATTACTCAAAAGAGAATTTGAGGGGATAGAATTGTCAGGTGACTCATTTTAGACTCTGACATTAATCTGAAAGGAGCCCGTTGCTTTTCCTATATTTATATCTGAGCACAGTACTTCTGACCTACTGTGCTGCTTGCTGGTGGAGTCCAAAACTTCTTGTGTCAAAGATTTAAGCCCCTACTCTAGGATATTGTTTATTTAATTTAATTCTAGGCACGGCTACACAGTTACATT